TTGGGGTGCAAAATCTCATGCCGTGTCATGTGCAATCGTAATGATATCATTGTGCTTTGCCTAACTTTGTTTAACATTGTTGCTAAGTACAAGTACACACAAAAAGCCATTGAGCGCAAAAATATAACTCATACGCACAGTGTGCGGGCATCAATTGCAGGCGCAATGTCAATGTGAAAATTTTAATAGGTTCCAATAAAGTAAGAGTATTTATTAATGGGTTTTATTTGTATTTAGCATTTGGTATTTGTTGAAAGCATGTCAGAAATTACAAAAATGTAAAGCTGTTTTAGCCAAACAAATTTCTGTTTATTCGTTCGTTGAAAAGGTTTTCTCATTGTTAAATTAAATTTACTTACAACTATTCTGAGCCATAACCGACTATGATAAAATGTATAGAAGTAGATTGGTTTTTAATATTTAGTGTTTTGTTCAAATGTTGATATATATTTCCGTTTAATTGATCAAGTACGCTTCAATCTTAGTTCTTTCATATAAGTACTATTCAAGTGTATTTGTTTAGTGATGTTATATCTTTAGAATGATTTTTGAATTGGTTTAAAAGTTAATTTATTAAAAAATGTATGTATTAACATTTGATATTTTGAAATTTTAAAAGTAATGTTGGTATTTAAAATTATTAGCTATGGGAAGCGAGGTGTTATTAACTATCTCATATATTCAAGTGCATAAATGGAATTTCTTTCTATTCTGCCTTGTTAGTCAAATGATTTTTTCGAAAAACACCGAAGATAATAAAGGATTATTTCACGCTTCTTATCACGACAGTCCAATATTTCTAATTTGAAACCCCCACACCATACCAGGCCCTTGACGTCAGCACCATATTGTGGTAGCAGTGGATGTGGCTTGGTGGCTGGTTGCTGGTGGCTAGTGACTGGTGGTTAGTAGTTTGTGGTTGTGTTATCTTGCCAGTATCGCCACAGACCACAAATTGAAGTTTGGTTAAGTGTTAAGTGTTTGGAATCGCTGTTAATGGCAGCGCAAAGTCAGAAATTTGCCAAACCATAAATCAGCCTGGCCATCAGCATTAAATAAAAGGTGGCCCAGTTCAAGTCATAAAGTTTGTGGGCAACATTTTTGGCCCAACCTACAGCCAACGCCTCGGCACTGCTGTCAGTAACACAATGCGGCATTTTAATGAGGCCTGACGTCTGATCAGGGGCCCCTTGGTATTAAGCCCACTGCTTGTTTTGAAAAATTAAAAATTAATATTTAATTAACATTATTGATTTCAGTGACGCTTTCCCTCTGTACACTTAGGACTCGTTTAGCATTTTGGTGTGTGTGTGTGTTTACACAGCGTCGAAAATTACATTTAGGACAATTTATTCACTTTGTATATTTGCCTTTGCTATTTACTCTTGGATTTCTGTCTGAGTATCTGCCTTGGAGTACCCGTTAGGGCTTAAATGTGTGTAGCAAAGGCTCGTTTTTCTTTACCTTGGCTGGCTGAGAGATGGTGCAACAGCTGCGCTCATTCACTTAACCATGGTCGCCATTTATCAAGAGCCAACACCAACCGCATCAGCAACGCGAGTCACGCACGCCACACACACACACACACACACAGACAAAAGCAGCCAGACAGACATACACACACACGTAGATATACACTCGTAGATAAATGTATGCACTTTTATTTATCTGCCATGGCATGGCAACATGTCGTATGCCCAATGAACTACTATAAACTTTTACAACTGCTGGGACGCCAACGCACGATGGTCGAAATGGTGAATCAGTTGTCATTATAATGTGAATTAAGAGTATTTATGACTTATAGTTAAATCATATTCGACATTTACTCCCACAAATCCATTAAACAAATATAGTTAACTCGCAAACGCTTGTTGAAAATTAAATTGGTATTAAAAGTTATTTAAAACTGTATTTTTAACAAAAAATATCATTCCAAATATTCGAACCTGAAAACCTTAGACTCATTAACCGTACAAGCCTTTTCTCGGTGGTAATAGTTAATATTTAAGTTAAATTCAAATTCATTTTACTGTTATTATGGAACAAAATGTTATAAAAAATTTGTTTGAGAACATTTACACATTTACCCTCCTATACTTAATATGCTAATATTTTCAATATACAAAATATGTTCAAAATATTTAGGTTTTTGTAAATTAAACTAGAAAATAAGTTATCGATTTTCCGAACACATTCATATGTTTATTTTAGCTTAAAGATTTGGAAATCATTTAAAATCCACTCAAACAATAGTTAGTTCAATCCTGTTAATAGTAAGTTCTGGGTTTTTAGTTTGTGCCAAAAATCTTGATTGTGTTTTGTTCCATATTGACTGTATAGTTATAATTTCTAATAATGTTTTAGCTTCTGTGCTTGGCAAAGTACAGAATTTAATTAATTTTAATAATACACTTGTATTTAAAAAGCGTTTTCTTATTAAATATGACATTTGACTTATTTGTTACAGAATCGATAGAAGCATCAAGCAATTCGTTTATACATAATAGCTGTTCGATCTTTTTTATAATACTTAAAGATTAAGTTGATTAAATTATTATCTTGTCGGACGCGACCAAAGTAATTAGATTTGAGCCCGATGGTAATGAATTTAGTTGAACTGCGTATGATTTGTTTTTGAGTTCAAACAAAGCGGATCGATATTCCACACGAACTTATTGAAAACCTAGTAGAATACATGCCTAAAAGCATTACTAACGCGTTTAAGCTAAGGCTCTCTGAGCTAAATATCAAAAGTATCAAAAAGTTAAATGAAACTTGGTATTCTCATAGATTTAAATAAATGTTTGGTTAAATTTTGTGCAGGCAGTACGCTGTGTTGTGCGAACATTTTTGTCAGGCTACAAAAAGCTTGATGCGTAATACAAGAAACAAGATTTAATATATCATATTGGACGATTTCAGCTATCAAAACAAAAAGGAAAAAATATTTTTATTACTGATATCTGTTTTGACTACTGTGCAAGGTCGACGTTGATGGCTGGGTCCATTTGTTCCCTATCGCTACAGCTGCTGCTGTTGCTGTCATTGTTGTTGTTGTTGCTGTCGCCAACATCCAACGGACATTGTCATTTTAATAATTTAATGAGGCTTGGGCGCCATATTAAATCCTTTTGCCCGCACATTTATCAAACACGCATGTGCCCCGCCCTCTGCCACACTCCATCATCCTCGCATGCCATCCCCATTGACAAGGATGTCGATGTCGTTGCCATTTTCTCATATTTGCTGGAGAATTTCTAATGGGTTTTTAATTGTTTAGCGGGTGCATATTTCCGCTTTGCTCTATAAACCAACTCTCAAACCTTGAAGGGCCAACAGGAAACACATATTTAAGTAAGCTGCTGGGAATGGGATATGGCTATTTTTAGCTTCACATTTTAAACGCATTAATTAAACTTTAGAAACTTATGAAAAAACATCCGTTTGTAAGCAACGGTTTGATTAATTAAAACTTCCATTTAAAATCTGCACATTGTTCCTTCACAACATTTCTGATATCAATGTGGTTTTATTCAGCGAATTTTATAAAGCGAATTGTACTGAATTAAGTAACAATAAAAACTGTGCTTGGATTAGGGAAGTAACATACCGAAATGTCTATTTAACCCATTTACAGTATGTCCTTCGGTCTTTAACGATGCTTTTGCTTCCAATCACATTCCACCAACATTCCACCCCATCTCTGCCATCTCTGAACCACAAGAAGTGCAGCAATAAAGTAATTCAACAGTAGCTGTATTTTTAATGTCACTCATTAAGGGTTATGGTGGTAAAAGTAATAAAAAAAAAAAAGAAAAGCCAATGCCATAGATCAACTGTAAATAAAAAATTGCCAACAACGCGAATTAAAGCGAGTTAATTAATTTGCTGCTGGCGCTATGGAAGCGCGCTTTCGAAACATGTCAGCCGACCTGAAGGGGTGAAAGAAGAAAACAGTTTCGCTTTCTTTTTTTTAAGTGTGAGCATATTTTGTTTATGTTGCTGCCGTCGCAAATTTATATGCACGAAAAGGAGTTGGCAACAAAATTGGCGATAAATCAACTGATAATGTCATCACATTTAGCGAAAAGCGTTGAAAGGTGTGGCGAGGTGGCGGAGGCAACACTTCAGCAACAACACTTGATAAGTCCTATACTATATACACAAGCAAGTGCGAAGTGCATTGTTCCGAGTGGGTTGATTGGCCTCGAATGGCAACTGAAAAGCCCAACAGGGGAAGGAGACCATTAGGCAGAAATAATAGCATGTAGTATGAATGAATGAAAGTGCTGCTTCACAATGGGAGATTTCAAGTCTATAGCAGTAATAATAATGTGGAAGGCAAATGCTGGCAATAATGGAAACCAGGGTCCGTTTTCTTTATTCAATCATTCGATTAAGACTAGACTAGTGAGCGAATTGCTCAAGAATCCAGTTAGTGTAATATCAAAAACTCTTTTCCTACTACAAAAGTAATATCTGGAAAAAATTAATAAAATTTGACTCAAGTTTCCTATGGTTTCCAAATAGGACAAAAGGGCTCCAACATTTGTTTGAGACACTTGTATTTTTCATTCCATAGAATTCAAACTGGGCAGCCTTTTTTCTCGGAAAGCTTCTGGCTTATACTTGTATGCATGTCATATTGGCAGTATTCCGTAGATTTTTGAGCAGAGATCCCTTTCCTGAGCACTAATCAAATTATGCGGTAGCCAAAGCGAATAAACATTCTTCACAGCCAAATGTTTCTGGGGAATTGGATGTATTATATCTCCAGAAATGGCCAAATTTCTTCCTTAAGTGATAGATATCCGCGTTTGGACTCATGTGATTATTTTTAGCTATAGGTAGGAAATTTTCCACTGTGTGCTGGAGAGAAAGGTGAAAGTGTCAAGCAAGTTTTATTGCGACTTGACGCGGCACCCCTCTAGCAGGAACTATGTCAGCCCATTTCCTTGTGCTTCCGTTTGCATAACAAATTAAGGAAAGGACATTGCTTTGTTATTTTATATTCCTTTCATTTTTATTATCGCATTCGCATTGCAAAGTTCTACGCTAAGCTTTGCGGGCTTATGATTATGGCTTTTAGACGGAGAGAAAAGAATGCAATAAAGTAAAGAGTTTCGGGCTATAAATTAAGGATTCTAATGCTTGGCATCATAATTGCTATAGTAATACAGAAAATCTTTTGTGGGTAATGTAATCCTGAATGCTGAATATTCTTGAAACTATGTCCCATTAAAGAGGACTACTACTTCCTTCTGCCACTGCTGCTCTGTTCGATGATGGCGCGTATTTTATTAAAGGCATTTTCCAGACTATCCACAAACTCCTTGCCCTTCGCCTGATTCTTATAAGAGGTCACAACGGCGCCGGCGAAATCATTCTGAATGGAGTAGCTGTAAGAATAGAAATGGTTTTAAGAAAGAGGAGACTAGCTTTTATTGCTAAATAAAAAAGTTAATAATATAGTAAGTATTTTGAAAGCTCTAAATTGAAATAATAAATTTGAAATAGTAGGGTATAAGACGAATAATCCAACTATATAGTAAGTTATTATTATTATAGATCATGTATAATGACTGAGGTTATTATTTTTACGAATAGACATTCATGTTCATTGATTGAATAGGCGTACGGATGAGCCGAAAGCTGAAAGAAGTTTTGAGTTAGGATATGAATTTGTTATGATTGATGGATAATAAGCTGTTTTGAAGGCACTTGTTTGAAGACCTTGCCTTCAGTCTCAGTGATAGTGTGATTTCAGTTGTGAGTCAAGTTGATTAAATATCGGTGGTGCTTACCCAATGCCTAGACCATCCCTAACCACCGGTCCAAATGATCCGGCGAGCAGTGCATCCGAGCCTAACGTCGAAGTACTTATAATATTATAGTTGATGCGCTTATAGGCTTCAGTCTCATAGAGTTTGGGCAGAGATAAGCCCTCTAGCTGAGCGATGTTCTTTAATGCAAATAAATGCCTATCAAAGCCCTGTCCCATGGCCGCCTCCTTAGTCAGCTGTCCATGGACGCTGCTGCATTTGTCTATCATGGCGCGTAATTCCGACGCACTTGGCTGCCTCTGAGCTGGCTGCAACACTGCCTCACAGAACGCCTTCGTGGCCAGGGTGCATGGTCGCATGGTTTCAGTGCGGCCGTGGCGGAAAGCCGACGTGCTGCATGACTCATAGGTGCCGACATATCGATCGAAGGCCTGGCGATAAGCCAGTTGAAAGGATAGCTGCATTATGGAGTCAGGGCTGAGACCGTAACGCTTGCAAGCGCCCTTGTTAAGCTGCGGATAGCGCAACAAATTCATCTCCAGGCTATCCACAATGCTCGCGTTTTGAGCGTAGGCGGCAGCCACAGCGCCACGTGTGGTGTCGTCAAATTCAAAGTTCAGAGCGCGCACAATGTTGGCTCCAATGGCAGGCGTAGGCACGGTTGCGGTGTCCACATACGGCTGCTGTAACGTGTCCTTGTACAGCTCGTTGAAGTACCGCAAAACGGCAACACCATCACCCCAAGAGTGCTCGAAATTTACGGCCGTCGTACCATCAGCGCAGATGAGCAGCGAAATGGATTTGTCAAACCAGCTGTAGATAAAAGAAACCGATGAATAATTTTTTAAAATATTTCGCCCTTTTCAATTATTTTTTTTTTTGATTTAAATTATTTAGAACCACAATTTAGGGACATTTACCGATTTTGTGCTTTGCCGGCCAGCAAATGTTTAAGCAGCGGTACTTGGTTCGCCTCATCAAACACACCATCCTCAGCGCTGTCTAGGCAGACGCAGAACAGCGCCGAATCCACTTCACGTTCCAGCAAATCCGCATTCTTGCTGCTGCTTACGAAATGCGCCCTCGCTCGCGCCCACTCATCACGTTGGGCAGTGGTTAGCACCCCTAGTGGTACATCGGTCGGCTCTCGCTCTGCATCCTGCTTAAGGACGGCCTGCAGGCGACCCAAAATAACACTGGGACTTTCGATATATCCACTGCTGTCCAAAACATTCACAGCGTACATATATCCACGTCTCATCACCAATATGTGCTTCGAGTTTGGCGACTGCACGAGCTCATCTTTGCCTATCCTGGGGATGCGAGAGGTGCCAAACAATTGGTTATACTGACTCATGTCCAGCGGGAAGGCTTTAAATGCATATGAGGCGTAGGTGGCGAAGGCTTTAGGGGCAACAGACATCCAGCGTCGATAGGCGGGTGTGTCGCTCTTCTTGGAATTCATGTGATAGACTTCGGGCTCAAGCAAGTCAGCTTGCAGGGAACGCCAGAAACGCAACGAACTGATGATCAGATTTGTGGCGCGCACCAACTGTTGCTGATACTGCGGCCGAGTATCACTTTTCAGCACCAATAGCGGGTTATAGTTAAGCGGCAGTGGGGCACGATCGCTCAGATACATGTCGAACCTGAAAAAATGTATATTTTCAATGAGTTTGAGGAGAAAATTGTTATGAACATTAAAAATGTTTCAAACCAAAACCGCTAGACACCGAATTCGGAATGTAGACTGGTCGTGTTATTATGCATTCTACGTTTATTTTAAATCGGATGTTGCTATTAGTATTAGTAGGTTTTTATAATTCCTGACTATATTTGAAAGTTTTAACATAAACCAACGGTGCCAAAATCACTACAATCTGTGACTAATGCGAGACATGCAGCTTAGTAAGCCATCTCCTCATGGATCAGTTGTAGTGATAGGATCTATATGTAAGCATTTTGGGGCAGAATATTGTACTGAAATGTTTGTTTTGAAAATGATATACCAAAATTTAAAAGAAAAGTGATCCGTGGAGTACCCCAAAGTGTAGCTTGATGTTTTCGTGAACCAGCTTAAACCAAAGAAATATATATAATATATCTGCTGGATATATTTCAAATTACCTATACCATTAATGATTGGGACAGGTAGTCATAAGAAATGAGCATATTTTGAATACAAATATATTAGCTTGGAAGTTATGAAACTTAAACCACATTTGAGAACAGTCTTTTTTTTATGTCTTTTTCATACATTTACTATTAAAAAAAATTTCTCAATTATTTCATATCCATTTGTGTATTGAAGAAGAAATTAATACATTAGTTATTAAATATTGATTCTAATGGAAAATTATTAAACCGAATAATTTATATTGGTTAATTGATATTGCTACAGATAAATTTTAATAAGTTTACGAATATGAATGATGTTGCTGGAAACAATAGGATCGCCCAACAGCACACTTTACGTTAATAATTAGAATAAAAAGGCATGGCAATGGGAAATAGGCCGATACGGAGGACAAAGGTTCTAAATAACAGCAATATGCTTTTAAGAAAGTTTATTTTACATTTACATTTATTTGCCGACAAATGAATGATTTTCTGAAAATTAGAATCTGTTGCTTTTAAGTAATTTTTTTCGTCATTTTCTTGCCCAAATACTTACCAAGGCTTCGATATATAGCTGGTGTGTTTGTTGGCCTCATCGCTCTGCTTCAGCCTGGCATGCAGTTCCATTCCCACGCCCTGGCGGAACTCCTCCACCACCTGTTGCGTGGCGCTATGCTCTGTCGACGTCAGTATTGGCTGCACAGCCGTGAGGAAACGCTCACAAGTCTTCTCCAGCAACGGGACAGGGAGGCGGGGCAGTGAACGCTGGAAGTACATGGTGGGGAGCTTGGAGCGCTGCAGATACTGATAATGACTGCCGTGGGTGGTTGTCGTTGTTGCACTGCGGCTGAGCAGCAAGTTGCCAATGTTGGCGCTCTTTCTTTGCAGATTTAGCTTTAACATTTTGAAGTTATTCTTCCTTAATTGATCGTAAAGGAAACACAAACTGCACTAAATAGCACGACAACGACGACTAGAACAACGACAGCGTCCACGGTAGCAAAGTCCAGTGCACTAATCAACAACAATAACAATTCAACAAAAAGTTGCACAATTGACGCAACAAGTTGGCAGCGTGCACAGCTGTTTGGTATTTTTGTGGTATTTTTGTTTCCAGATCTCAGCTGATCTTGCGCATGCCCAGCACTATCGATGATGTTCGCGCCTATCGATTTTGAAATTTGAATGTTGGCGCGCAGTAGATAAAATATTATGTAAATAAAAAGTGAAATAACAAAAATTGTAGTTGAAACAAAAAAAAAACTAAATATTTTTTTAAAGTTAAGATCACTTAATCACTTTTTTTGTTTTAATGGAAGAAAAAAAAAACAGTTTTTTAAAATGAAATTTTGGTGATTGCTCTTAATAAATATTGATTTTATTCGTAAGTAATAAAAAGAGTCTGGCACCTAAGATGTTATTTAATCTTTAAAGAAATAAGGTTTCTTTTGAATGCTAATCGTATTTTATGTTAAATAATTGATAATTTATGAAAATAGAGGTTAAATATTTATTACTTTTTTTTACGTCGAATTTCATTTTTTATAAATTATAATAGAGCTCTTGTTAAAGCGATATTAATATTAATTGAGCAACAATATTATTATTTACAGATTAATTACGTCTTCAATCCGGGTATTCTGTACATGAAATTGAGTTGCATTGCAGACATTTATGTTCATGGTTTCAATTCTTGTAGTGAAGGTAAGGTGCTTGCAATATAAAATCTATTTCATCATAAACGAAGACTCGTTGGGTAATTCACTATAAAGAGTGAATATTCATTAATTTTATTCATTCCCTTACTTTTTCAATTTTTATATTCTCATTAAGAAATAAAATCCAAACTTTATAACATAATATAGACAGACGAATCATAAGATTGCAGTTGAGTCTATTTTTATTATAAATTTTTTTATTTTCTGATTCAAAAAAGATTATAAGCTAGCCACTCATTAAAATCCAATCGACAAGTAATAAAAAATGAAAGCTACTTAGACATATACAGGGCCTGAATTCGATTACTGCGATTTTTTATTTTCCTGAATTTGTAGAGTTATTTGTTTTTTACAGCTTAACACTGAATTAGCTGCTTAGGCGTAGCCCCCAACTTTAAAAAATTGCTAAGTTGTGACAAGCCGTTGTGTCGAGGTTAAAGCTGCAATCGCGAAACAATTGCTCATTGATTTTCAATTTGTTTACATATATGTATTTGTTTTGCTGTCGTTGTTTTTGTTATTCTTGTTTTTCTGACCCGCTTCAGCGTACTTTCACCTCTCACGAGTGAGCAACGCGATTGTGGCCAACGGATAAACACTTTGCCGACTGAGTTTTGTTTGCATTTACACAGACAGGCAGGGAGACAGAGGGGCGCCAATGATGATGACAATGACGATGCCGGTGGCTCCGCATGTGTATCCAAATGGGTCGGTGTCGGTCAAGTGCTGTCGAATCCATTGACTTGTCGATTTTGGCGCCAATGAGCATTCCAGACACTGTGTTAGACTGTGGTACGAAGCCAACAAGAAAGTCGGGGAAGCGCGGCTGGAACTGCGAAGAAATGCAAATTCGCATACCATTTTTATTTCTTTTCGAATTTAACGAGCAACCTTTAGGTACTTATCGATTTCACCCACAATTTGTACAGTAAGATGAGAACAAGCCATAAAATTTGCACGTTCGAAGGGACCTTTGCATTAAGCAAAGAGCGAGCGCCCTTTTCCTCTCTCTACACACATATTCCACAAATTTGCATAAAAGCCAAGTTGCTCGAGTTACCAAAAAAATGAGTCGCGGGCAAGCGTTGCAGTGTGTAATTGGACAGAGTGGAATTGCGTTAATATTTAACAAGGCAGCGGAAAGTGCAAAAGTGAAGGGAAATAATACAGAGACTGCGGATACGGATACGCGAATGCAGATAAATATAGCCTTGGGGGTCGGCTAAAATATTTCGAGGGTGCGTGTAAAATGTTGAGCGAAACTGTGTGAGAGTTGAGAAAGGGTTCAGAGCGTGTGGGGACCTTCGAAATGTTAAAAGTTAAAATCAACATTAAAATGCAATGAAATGAAATGTGCGTAGGGGAAGTGTTTATTAAAGACGAGCTGTTTTGATGTTTTAGTAATTTATTTAATAAATAATAGTCATATTTTTGTGGCAAATATGCGGAATATGCTTACAAAGTTGTCTTTCGTTTTAGAAGACAGTGTTATTGGAAACACCTTCTCCCTTAATCGCTTTTAGCGAAATTAGCCGAAAACTTTAAAAGTTAAGTGGTGAATACTTCTTATTACTTAATAGTTGATTAGAGGAAAAGCTAAAATTTGTGTTATTTGCACAATTTGAATTTGTTTTCCTGTAATTCGAAATATTTACTAAAATTAAGAAGAAATAGTTCGTAAAGAATTCTCGTTTTAGCTTTGAAGCATGAGCTCATCGGTCCATTTACCAAAGTGAATACCAACGTTGTAAAACAAGCTCCAAATTGACTTTATCTCTTAACTCTTACCTCAAAAGTAACTTGAGAATTTTTTCAATCTGTAGAGTGAGTAAAGTTCGATGTCTGTCTTAATGTCTTAATAAGGTATCTTGCAATTTTAATAAAAAACAAGTAAAGAAGCTAAAGTCGGGTGTCCCGACTTTGAAATACTCTGTACATATGTTTACAATAATTATAGAAAATAAAAAAAATTTAGAAAATAAAAAAAAATTTGATAGATTTTACCTCTCTCGGTATTCGAACTCACGTAAAGGGTGTATAATTGCACATTTACATAGCAATTGCGTCTGTGTGAGTGTATGTATGCCTATGCGCATCAATTCGTGTCTGTGTAAGCATTTTCGCAGTCAACCAAACAGCAACATCAACAACAGCCGCGGGCAGCGCTTGAGCAGCGCTGCAGCAGCAAATATATTTATGGCTATAACTTCTTGGTAAATCGGTCTATCATAGTGAAACTTGACATACGGACACATAATTACTAACTGGCGGTATTTGCAAAATTTTAGTTCGAAATTCCAAGAATTACGGGAGTTAGAGAAAATCGCATTTGCGGGGGAGAGGGGGGAGGGAGGGAAATTCCAAAATATACATTTTCTGCGTATTCACACAAGGCATCTTGGACTACAATTTGGTGTGCCTAGGTTTTATAGTCTCCGAGATATAGGCGATTATACGAATGGAAAATCGGGAAAACCCCCATAGGGGGGAAGTGGGGGGGAAAATCAAAAAAATAAAACAAACTCGTATAGAATACACACATAACGCATCTTTGTGGAAAATTTGGTGTCTCTATCTCTTATAGTCTCTGAGATCCAGGTGTTCATACGGACGGACAGACGGACAGACAGACAGACAGGGCTAGATCGACTCGTCTTGTCACGCTGATCAATAATATATATACTTTGTGGGGTCTGCCACGCCTCCTTCTGCCTGTTACATTTTTCAGCTCCCGCAAACCTAATATACTCTTGTACATTTCATGTACAGAGTATAATAAAGCGTAAAATGTAAACCCTTCAAGTTATTATGCTTTTAAGTTTGCAAATAAATGCATTTTAATGTTAGCCACTTTAATAGTCAACGTGTGGCAAACATCAATAATCCGATTAAAAAATTTAAAAGCAAAATGAATTGCATTAATAATGAATTTCTTAATGGAATGATTTCGTTTATTGAAATAATTATTAAATTGTGTGTGTGTACGAAAATTGAATAAAATGTCACGTTCACTTCAAATGTGTTGAATGCATCACTTGTCTATGATTTCCATTAAATTGTAGCTGAAATACAAAATAAATAAATAAACTGTCTGCATTTATGTATTCTCTCTTAGTTGAAATAAATGCGAAAAGCATGTCACCATGCTAAAAAGGTCATTAATTAAATATATTTAATATTGATAATTAATTTGTTCGACATTTGCACATTCGATGTTCCATTTATAATTGCAATTACAATTCATTAAATGACTTTCAATATGATTAAGCTAAAATAGCTAATGGACACAAGCATTCTACATTAAAAATGTCACCGCCAGCAACAAAATTAAGCAAATTTTATGAAGCCCTAAAAAGTGTGAACTGTCTCCAACAGATGCTCCACAAAACACCCGAAAACAAAAGAGCTTCAGATGAAATGACAATGAAATGATATGGTTTTGGTATAGCAAGTCAACATTTGGTTTTGAAGGCTTCGTTGTCGCCCACAACTGCCAGCGAAACCCACATCTGTGGAGTGCCACAATACAATAAAACTTTTGTTCATTTGATCCGAGCTGATTCGATGGCATCGCCACATTCGGGCCAAAAGATTAACAAACATTCCAAAGAGCGCGCCAAAAAAAGGTCAAATTGGAATGGGATTTGGGACACCACTCCGTGCTCCATTTTTAGGTTTGCATTGATCTGAAAATCGGCGTAAAATGGTGTGAAAAATAAGTCGATTTGCTTGTATAGCTGCTGGTGTCGTAGTTGTCTTTGCCATTGACGGGTTTTTGCTAACACACCTGTGCACAGTGGATTAGAACTTGAGTGCAGTACACTAAGTAGATTTAGACAGTGCACATGATTCTTTACTACAGGGTGCGCCATTTTTTATGTCGGTATGTAAACACTGAATATCTTTAAAATAACCAACCGATTTTCAAGTATGAGTTATTTTTATTTAATTTGGTTCTGTACAATTTCTTGAACTGAGGTTTTCAACACTGGTCTACTCAAGTCAATCGGTTCACTAATGACAAAGTTATTCAATATTTACATACCGACATAAAAGATGGCGCACCCTGTAGTTATTGAAGCAATCATAATTAAAATTGATGATTGGTTTCTCTTGTATGTTCTACCCCCAAGCAAGCGGAGTGTGAGGACTCTCTCATTATAAATAATTTAATAATGCCAATGAAGCACCTACTCTTATATATATCTTAGATTTCCTACACTTTTTCAAATCTCGACCCATTGAATTGGGTTTACA